CAAATTCCTCTGAAACCCTTACCGAGAGTTGCCGTAAGTTTTCATCAGATGCCCAAATGGTAGTATCATCAGCAAACAAAACCATTTTAACAGTTTCAGAAACCTTACATATATCATTGATGTATAATATAAATAGTTTAGGTCCCAAAACAGAACCCTGAGGCACTCCGCATACAATATCCAGCTCACTCGATTGGTATTCACCCAACTTCACAAATTGACGCCTCTGTGTCAAATAACTTCTAATCCATTTCAGAACCATTCCTCTGATCCCATATTTTTCTAACTTGCACATTAATAATTCATGATTGATTGTGTCATGCTTTTTTAGGTCAATAAATATTCCTATCGTGTATTTCTTTTCATCCATAGCACTTGGAATGTCCTCCATCAGGTCGGTAATGGCCAAAGATGTCGATCGGTTTGACCTAAAACCGTATTGGCAATCAGAGAGGATTTTATGTTTGTCAATAAATGTGTCTAATCTGTTATTAAAGAGTTTTTCCAGAATTTTTGAAAATTGTGACAACAGAGAAATTGGTCTATAATTTGTGAGGTTGTGCTTATCACCAGATTTATACAGTGGAATAACCTTTGCTATTTTCATATTATTGGGGAACTGCCCAAGATGAAACGACATGTTAAAAATATGGGTTAATGGTTTGCATATCATATTAATATAGTTTCTTACATCTTCTCAAAATCTCAATTAATTTGTTCTTATACGACTTATATTTTTCTTCCGTCTTCTTTGATCTGTCCTTTATGAATTCCTTATATAACACATTCTTCTTTTTACATGCATTCTGTAATCTCTTACTCATCCACGGTTAAATCCATTAATTACAATCCTCTTTTTTAAATGGTAAATGTGACACCAAAGAGGCTAACCTCTTTTGTAGTAGGAGCTATAAAATAGCCTAATAAAAATGAAACAATTATTATCTGCGCCTCCAAATGATAGCAATTTAAGCTGAATAAATGTATAATTATTTTCCACTGATTTCTCGCTTATGCATGTCACACTCTGAGTTCTCATATTTCCGACAGCCACATAATGCATCATGTCAGAGCTGAGCAGAGAAACGACAGCAGCAGTCGCCTGTTGCTCCAAACAGTCAAGCTGCTTATTGTAAGTCACAGACTAGCAGCTTGTTCACACAGCTATCCTGTCTAAACGGCGCTGTCTTGTTGAATGCTCACATTTATTCGTTTTCCTCGGGACTTTGACACAATGCAGCTGACTGCTGTTCAGATGATCCTTTGAGATGGAGAAAACCTCAGCAGAAGATGACTGCGTGGATTCAGGAGCTGAGACTGGAGGGTGAGTGAAGCAGAACTGTTCCACTATCTCCCTCAAGGCTTTGGCTCCAACTTGATGATTTATGGAAATGTTCTGGATTTTCATCAGCCCATATGAGCATTTAAACGTTTATTGAATTTTCCTTTGTGGAAAACCATAACAAATACATCTGTTACAAATTAGAATTCCAAACGTAATATTTGAAGTGTCTGGAAAGGATGTAACTTCGGCTAAGTGTGTTCATGTGATGAGGGGCCGAATTAAAGCGGTGTGAAATTATTCTAGTACCTTGTCAGATAAACATGATAACAATGAAGTGTTGTGTAACTCATCTCAGTGGAAGCAGACCTGAACAGTTTAGGAGAGTAACTGATGTAATGTCTGATGAGGACATATGGAGCAAATGTAAGTCTTTAGTGAAAAGTTACATCTTAATCACCAACTCATTTGTTAACAAGAGTAGATTAGTTAAATGATTCATGGTGTTCACTCTGTTTTCAGCCATTAAACAAAGATGAACCTCCCCTGCGGTAGGCCTGTGTCGCTGCTAGATGTGGTTTTGTAGTAGTGAAGCACTTGTGTTTGTGTGTTTTAGTGAGAGGCCCACAACCCCTTTAAACACATCATGATCAACATCTCCAGATTTATTGGGACATAGTATCCACATTTCGTTTTACGTGATCTGTCTTTAGAGATGCACTAATCAAAGTGTTTGTACTAACGATGGATCAAATAACATCAAGTGCAAAGTGAAATGTATTGATCACAATGACAAAACCACTGACAACAATCACCAGCGCTGCAGGTCTGCAGAATGTTTTAGCAGCTCTTAGCTCGCTGTGGTTTTACAGCACATTTGCTGTTTGGTCTCAGCAGCAGTGTTTCCTGCAGCTGATAAACCCACTGTGCACTACCTGCCCAGCACCAAACAGCAGACAAAATTAGCGATTAAATTAATGACTAGTAGGTGATGAAAGTGGAAGATGTAGCAGCTGTACTGTAAGGAGCTGGTGGAGACCAAACCACAGCTAAAAGGAAAGTGAATATTGGCCTACGTCATCAGACGGGCTGAAACATGACTCATATGTACATATGTATGCTCTGTGCCCATTGGATATATGATTAAGAGACTACTCATCCAAGTTGTGGTTTCAATTAATGAAGCGTTAACTTTTCCTGACAATAGACCTCCTGTGGTCGTGGTTCTCGTTCTCCCACTCAGTCCACAGCAGTGTCTTTAAACCATGACAACGATCTTTCCCAAACATAACCAGAGCTGTAGATGTGGCAGGCAATAAACTGCTCACATGAGTCATTGTTTGGAACAGTTATGTAGGTATAAGAATTTATTGCTTTATGTTTAGTTTCTTTCCATCTTCATCTGCTCCTTTTTCCACCATCCCCTGTCTCCCCCCCCGCATCCTCTTCCTAATCAAATACAAGACACTACAGTCTGTTCAGCTCTTCACATGTGAAACACGACCTTTAAGACTCAATCGCGAGCCCATAAGGTCACTCTGCAGTTCAGCCTTATGTGCATAGCTGGGCTGCTGCCTGTCTTTGCCTCACGCTGTGTTTATTGTCTTTGGATGGAGATGAAGTGAAGTAGCATGGCCAGACTGTGGGCTCGCGGCAAGGCGTTAGCCGGCGCTGCTCAGGGAGTCCTGCCAAATGAACATGCCTATGGGAGACATCAAAACAGACCTGCAACTGCACATACTGCTATCTCCAAGTGCACTCCAAAAAGTCATAACCCTTAGGTAGAACATTTTTTACGTGTTTCATCCACAGTTTGTCATTTTTGTCTAGACATGTGGGGACAAGTCAGTAGCTCATCCCTTTCCCTCCACACTCCCATCCATTCCTCTGTCTACCTACTAATGCCTGATAGATTGATAATGTCCTGCTGCAGGAAACAGACTCGTTCCTCCTTTCCTGCTGTCCTGCAACTCCAGAGGCCTTATTAGCTTAGAGAAAGAGTAACAGGGAGGGTGTCTGTGGAGGTACAGTGCTCTCTGGTTGTCAGCTGACTCCTGTGGGACTAATAATCTCAGCTGTGGAACACGAGTTGCAGTTTCACAGACAGTTCAGAATTGTAATGTGTACGACACAAGCCAGTTCCTCAGTCAGTTTTATTGTATGTGGGCATTCATGTCTTTTCTGTGTTTGTGTAATAACACCAATTATCAGATTTTTTTCTGTGGGTATCAGATCATCAGAAATCTTATCCCGCTTCTCTCCAAGATCAAAGATGTGAAACTTGTGGCTCTGTTAACGTTTAAAAGTATGCCTATGAGCACAACTGGGACGAACTGTATCTTGTGACCTGAGGAACAAAAGATTAACTGTTTGCTCTGCACTTCCACATTACAGCACAAGTTGCATCTTAAACTCACCATTAAGCCAAAAACTGTCTTTATTACATTCACATATTGAAAGAACAAGATAGACTTTGTTGAACAGTGAGGCTTAGAGGTGATGGGGGATGTATTTTCCCCCATACAGGTAGAGCCAAGCTAGTGGTTTCCTCTGTTCCAGTCGGTGCTAAGCTAATCGCCTCCAGCCTGTAGCTCAGCTGAATCCACACACAGTAAAATGTTGTTCAGACCTGATGGTAACCAGTAGGTTACCCCCTTAAAATAACATCAATTAGATACATTTACAATGGTGTGTATTTGGAGAAGTTCACCAAGAAGAAAGACACAAGCAAAGTATGTGGAGCTTCTTGTAAATTTGCTGAATCAGCTGATTTTAACTACCAGTGTCTCAGGCAGTTTGGTGACTGTGTAGTTTTACACAAGTAGGAGATATCCTTGCTGTCAGAAATTCCCAATATACTGTTGTTCATAATTACAGACAGCATTGTTGAATTGTTCCTTTAGGTAAATGTAGTAAATCATCATAATCCATTAAAAAGTGTAAATTCCCTGCATTCAAACATTTATTTAAGTATATTTTTGTGATAATAACTGTACTTTTACTTATTTTTCAAATACTTGTTATATAGAATGGCCTGAAGAGGTATACTGTACGTTATACGGCTGGATTATTATTGCTGATGCATGAATATGTAAGCAGTATTTTAATATCGTGGTCGGTTTTAGGTGTTTTAGCTTATTCTCTAACAGCGCATCATATTTTATAAGATGCATGGAAAATCTTAATCTGCACACAAACCATGACAAGTTAATTTTAAAACCTAACATCCAGAGCTCCTTCTGAAATCTAGTGAAATGTAGGAGAAGTATAAAGTAGCATAAAATAGAAAACCTGAAGTAAAATACTAGTACCTGAAAACTGCAGTTGAGCACAGTACAGTGGTAGTAGTAGTATAACAAACAGTACATTTTTCTGTTTGTCTCTTTGGATAGAAGCCATGTTTGGTGACCTTTTCCGTTGCACCTCTCCCTCTGTTTAGCCAGATGTCATCACTTTGTTTGAAACAGGAGTGTGTCGTCCTGTAAATCATGTTGATTGCATTTTATGTTGTAATATAAACTCCTGTCTCCTCTGTCTGCTTCTTGTCTTCTCTTTCTCTTTCCCCCTCCTTCCATGTCCACATCATCTCGCTCATCTTTTTTCTCTTTCCTGTCGCCCACTGCAGGTCTGATTACAGTCCCTTGTCCTCAACGAGCAGTAAGTAAACCAATGGTGACATGAAGCTTTGCTAACTGTGACTCAAACACAAACACACAGCTCAGGCCAGGGACTTTATCTCCCTAATACATGCTGACAAAATAAATCCATTCACAGGGGAGGATTCTTTGTGTGTGTTAAGTGGTCCATAGCCCTACAGCAGAATTTAGGGACAACTTTGGCACAATGTAAATGGTCAGGTATTACAGGACAAGTGAAATAAAAAGGCTAAGAAGAATTTCACATGACTGGATCAGTACAAACACGATGTATTCTCAGTGTGCTGTCAAATAAATGTAAAAAAACAACACATTTGCATACATTAAAATGGTTTCTTTGGTAAGGCTTTTTCAGATTTGCATGAATAAGCACTAAGCTTGATTCATAAACAGTCCCTAGATAGACACAGTTCAAACTATGATGCTGCCACAGACACACAGCCATAAAATCTTTGTGCACTCAGTGAGATGTAACAAAGAACATTTCTGGCACTATCCTTGGAATCTCATCATCCATTTTGACAAATCATGTAATATGTTACATATTCCTACGGAATAGCTTTGTTTTACTACAATTTAGATATTCAGGTAGGGTCGGCCATTGTTTTTATCAATAATAACACTGTACTCATGACGTTACTGAGCTTTGGAAGACACCAGCATTACAGTCAGACAATCAGACAGGCTAGAAACAAACCTCTAGTTTAGTGAAACTTATTTGGAAGCTAAAACAAACTGTCATAAACATCCATCACGGTTTGCAGTGAGAGATGCACTTGCCTCCTTTCCCCCCCAAATAATGAGATAATCTAGATAAACTCTTGGCTTGTGTACAGTCTGTTTAATCATCCTGACTGACTTTTCAGCAGTGTCGCTGCTTTTCCAGACTTGAGCGAGAGCATATATGATAAATCATGCTTATACAGGTGTTAAAGGTCAAACCGATGACAATGTGGCTGAAGAGCAGCTCCACTTGTGTTTATCGCTAAGCCACTGGAAACCGGCTACGTTATGAGCTACACATATGCTACGTCATATTATTTGTGCCACTGATGTTTAAACTAATTGCTACTTGCTGATGAGTTACCCATTTTGTGTGCTTGTATATAGAGTATAGTGTCTGAGGGTTTGTGTTGTTCTGTGTGAATGTGTGTGTTTGCAGAGGTTTTGATCTCTTCCCAGTCTCTTTGCCATGTCCCCAGGATTTTCACAATGGGAGGATTATATCCAATATTAACTCATTAATGTGGTCTGCAGGAAGATGTGTTGTTCTGTCCACACCACACTGGCTAGTCAGGAAGTGTAGGACCACATGCACGCACACACACACACACTGAGATTCAGCAGTGTGTGGTTTTGTTTTTACATCTCTTTCCTGTCATTGCTGTATCAGATGCCCTTCTGCCCTCCATTGTCTCTACTCAAGGTCGGGGTGAGAACAAAATATGCACAGTCATATCGTCAGAAAACACAAAAACTTTAAATACTAAGGAAAATGGGAAGGAGAACTGAGAGGGATCATCTTGAACAGTTAGTCCTACTGGATCCATAGTTTAAAATTAGAGGAAAACAGATTAAGTGAGCTCCTAGTTTGTCATAAAGGCAAATGATTACTTTTATCACTCAAAGTTAAAGTTAGGAAGTTGAAATTATAGTTGCAGGAGTTTCATACGACAGCGGTGATGTGATGTTTGTAGTAAATGGAATGATAATTGTAATCAGTCTTTAATGCTGGTGGATGCTGCATGTCAGAGCTTTCAGCAGAACACAGGGTCGCGTTCCTCCTCAATCACTTTCTATTGGTCACAGCAGATGCCAAGCACCTAATCACTTTCTATTGGTCACAGCAGATGAGTGGCCATTCAGCCTGAGTGACCTGTGACCCTGCCCTTAGTGGTGTGTGTGTGTGTGTACATATACAGTATGTAAGACAGAAGGGGTCAGAGATTTTTAAACTGCACAGAGGTCAGACTGTAACAACACAAAGATGCTGAGCAGAGACACATACAGCTGTACTAACAGAGATACAGAACATACCCGAAGGACGTGCAGGGTGTGTCACACTTGAATCCGTAAAAAAAATACTGTCAATGCATTTGGTACAAGCAGATGTAGACCGGTGAGGGCTATGGGAGGATATGAGACGGCTTCAGGTAATGTTATGCTAAACAAAGACTGTGAACACTTTTCTTCCACCAGTCTTTGACAGTGAGTAACGTAAATGTGCCTCAGCATACTGAACAGTTCACTGAGTCTTTTATACCACAGAGGCTCGAGATAAGATTGATAGTGGTCTAACAAAAGCATCAGAGGTTGACTTTGGGGGTTTTCAGGGATCAGCCTGTTACCAGCAGATGTTCGTATTTGGGTATAAATGTCTCAAAGCACTGACCGGGAGTGTGACATTAGAACTCTCTGTGCACTGAATCTTATGTGCATTAGTAAGCAATTTGAACCCTCTGGTGGCCAGTTGCAACAAAAACCACTATACAGAGAGGCATTTGCAAAACGTGGGTGCACGGCTGAGAAGCTACTGGTTGTAAATAGTATCACTAATGAGGTCAGTACGGTCTTCGGCCATTAGTCCACTGGGCACAGCCGCCCAAAAGTTCAAATGACAGTATACCAAGCCACTGTCATGTGTCTGTGTCTCAGGTCATGGTAATCATGCTCACTGTGGATGGTTCACTGTTGCTTATGTCAGCAGTAAGAATGATGTGTTTTTACCAGAGAGTGAAACACTTGTGCAGACTGCCAGTGCATCCAGTAATGCCTGAGGCTCTGCTCTTATTTCAGCTCCAACAGGCAGCAAGATTAGCAGAATCAGGAACATGTGTCCATGCATGTTACTGTAACTCCACTCTTCCAAATTTGTATATGACCTACACTGTTGTATTCCATCTGATGAATTAAATATCTAGTGGTGAAAGTGCAAGAACCTTTAAAATATTTACTTGCCTTTAATTATTCAAGGTCTGCTGTGCAGACATGTACAACTACACCAGGCAGCAGACAGACAGATACGTACATAAAGGTGCTTTAAATAGCATTTTAAATGTTTTGTTTTTCTCATTTTATTTTGAAGCCTAAAATCATTTGAATCATTTTCCTGTACAAATTTGTTGTTGTAGAAGTTTTGAAGTTCTACCCCCTGTGCACTATAATTAAAAAACAAGAAAGGGTTGAGCATATTTTTGGATATATTTCCACAGTTTAAATTCAAATAATCTATTATAATAATATCCGTATTTTTGCTTAGAGTTGATATTTACAATGATGTAATTTCTAGTGAGTCTTTTTGTAAATATTTATAGCTAAGTGTTGTATTTCACCAGTTAATGGCAGCACTAATTAAATGTATCGTGCCCCAACGCTGTGCCCTGCTTTACAGTCCATATAGTGACTGTGTGCGTTGTCTTTCATTCATCTTGTAAACGATGGTTCTTATATAAGTGGAGTTACATCCAGTACCAGTGTCCAGTAACTCTTGGTTGTAATTGTCTCTTACCTGAACTGGAGACTAGTCCTGTACAGTTGTGTGTTTATGTTGTTTAATTAACTGTAATTGAGAGCAGACGTCTGTGAACGGAAGGTTTACAGTGGAGATGACTTTGCTGCCTGTGTGTTACTGAAAAGGAGAAGACTACAGAGTCCTCAACGCACAGATGTAAAGCTTTAGTACACACACTATCTTTGCCACAAGTCTGTTTTGAAAAAGATATGTTGCTCTATATGTTTACTGTCAAAGTTTAGTATCAGCTTTAAACAACACTGCTACATCACACTTCATTTCTCCAGGTCTATGTGTGTAACAATGTGCTGTATATTACACCTGTACTGACAGAACAGAGGTCTGAGCGTTCGCTGCCTCTTTGCCTTTCATCAGCACAGGCTTGTGTTCACACTTGGATACATGACGCACATGTTTGTGTTAGGACAGCGCTGAGTATCCTTTTACATGCCAAACCACTCACAGTGATGTCAGCCAAGGCACTTTCAACAGTTTTAATAGCAATTGATGGATTAAGGACCACCTGTAACAACTCAGCATGCGCACACACACACACACACACACACACACACACACACACACACACGAAGCTTTCTCCCTTGTTGAACATGGCATACAGTGTAAGATACAGGCTCTGCAATAACTGTTACCAAATGTCCATCCTCCAAATTGAGGTTTGGACCAAGAGGCTGAAATCGCTCTTAAATGTGCTGCAGTTAGTTTATGATTTAATTGGAGCAGTTTGTCTGTCAGCCTTGTCGTGGGCCCTTCATGACAATGAATTGGTGAGTGTGTGTTCAGAGGAGTCTGCAATAGGTTGCACAATGGAAAATGTTTTTGGCTCTGCGCTACAGCATAGTGGGTTTGGAATGAAGCAGTTACTATGAGATAGGCTTTAGCTGTTAGAGGCCCACGTTCAATTTACATTCAGTCTATTGAGGTCTGAGTTTCATCATATTGCTGCTGGTCTCAGGTCTGTGTGTGTCTGTATGTCTGTGATCCCATGGTGCAACATCATCATAACAGGAATAAAATGTTTTTTGGTGTGGGGAGCTGGACTCCAGTAAAAATGGCGGTTTGGCTGCTTGTGACATGATGGTGTTTCATGCTGCTGCCAGTGTCTTCCACAGCCTGTCCAAGGGTCTGATTTGAATCAGATGTCTTAAATCCATCATTTATGCACTGCAGATTTGGGTAGGGGTTCCACTGATCCATTTTAACTTATAACAACCTCGAGCTGAGGTGATGACACTGAGCCCAGTTTTAGGGGACCAGATGTGCTTGGTGTCTTCTCTGCTGATGCAGCTGTTAGGTCTGGTCCATCAATAACACTCATTGGGTTGTGTTCTTAAAATGTTCGAACTCTGAATGTGAACATCCTCAAGCAACCTAAAAGCTGAAAATCAGCATTTTCACTTAGCAATTTTATGTCAAATCTAATGTGCCGCAGTAAAGAGACAAAGCACAAATGTCACCGTCCAAATAGACAGTTAAATAGGATCAGGGGACCATCACCTCCTCAGTTTTTTGCCCCTCTACTAAGCCAAGCTGCTTTGTCCCAGGTGACTGCCAGACGACATTCACGAACTTGGACTAGCTCCTCACTAAGCCTCCTGTTCTAATCTTTTTGCCAGACTGTTTTAACCTGTCTAATCGATCTAATGCTGACGTTTAAAACTCAAAACTCGCAGTTTTAAGCCAGTAGCTCAACATTATGGTCTGGTTGCCTTTATCTTCTGTGAAACTTTAGGCTTGGTGGCCTGCACATAGAGATCACTTTGTATAATTTGCTCTGGTTTCCCAGACTTCCTTTCGGAAATCGGCAATTCCCTTTAGTTTCAAGTCCCACTTACTGTATGTTGCGCTTCATAAGTGATATCAAGCAAAAAATACATTTTACTTTCTCTTCTAGAAGAGAGAATAAAACAAATACAGCACATACTTATTAGGAAATGTTACTTAAACATTTATTGTGGACTATTTTCAAATTGGTAAATGGACTGTATTTATGTGTTGCACTGGCCAAAGCGCTTTACAGGAGATCATACACCATTCACCCATTTAAACACAACCTTCACACACCGATGACGACAAGCTGCCACACAACGGCGCTAGTCAAGCCACCGGGAGCAATTTGGGGTTCAGTGTCTTGCTCAGGGACACTTAGGAGACCGGGAGTCAAACCACCAACTTGCTGGTCAGGAGACGACAACCCCACCTCTTGAGCCACAGCCACCCCGCTGTAGATGAATATTAATTTGGTGTTTTTGTGAGTATTTAAAGCAGAGGGTTCTCCAGTCTTCATCTTTATCATGCACATTTTTTTCTTTAAGCCTTAAAAATGTAGAAAATGAGAGATGAATATGGAGAGTGGGAGGAAGGCTCATTATTAACAAAACATAATATATATAGACCTCTCCACAACACTCATGTAGAAACCTCACTCAAATATCATAAACCACTGACTGGTTACTTACTGACCCACTTTAATCAAACTAATATCTGGTTGTTGGGGATGTGAGAGAAGATGATCATTTATGCTGCATCGCTTAAATACAATTATTATTCAGCTTTTTCCTAAATCATATTGCTTCCTTGTGGCCTAATAGCAAACGTTTCGAGGCCCAGCGTTGGTCCACAGCCCAGAGTTTGGGAACCTTATCAGGCTTTGATGATGTTGTTAATGAGATGAAATAGTTGTGGGTTCTAGACTTTTTGTGGGATTTCTTATAGGAGAAGATGACACCTATATCACTGGATTTATGCAAAGTTTCCAAACAAGAGAAGGTCTGAATCAGAATCAACGTTTGATGTGTTTGATGCTTTGAAATAAGTGAGCAGCCAAAGTTTTACTGGACTCACACAACTTTATATTATAGCTGAGACTTTACATTTTAATTTCCTTGGCACCAGTCAGACTGATGTGTGAGTGTTTTTTCTTTTAACCAGATGACAAAAAGGGCCCCCCATCTTGAATTTCCTCCTTCACTTGTTCTGACTCACACTGAAGGCCAAGCTAGCAAAAGCTGACTGCACGACTTGTGCACACACACACACACACACACCGAAGGCCAGGCTAGCAAAAGCTGACTGCATGACTTGTGCACACACACACACACTCTGAGGCCTTTTGCTGCTAATCACTGTCATATGTGCAGGGGCCACTGGAAGGCATGTTGTTTATCTCACATCATCATGTGTGTGTATGACTGTGAGCATGTGTTGCCAGTTAACACTTAAACACAGAGCGAAGGAAAAAGTCACTAAGAATTAGAAAAGACAGGCTTATAAATGAGCAAATAGATTTTTTGTGTGTGTTGAGGGTGACTGTGCACATGCATGAGTGTGTCAAGACAGAACATCAGCTTCAGTTTGAAGAGTGGATTAAGATCTTAGGGACACACTCCTCCAGAGCCTGAAACACAAGCCGCCTTCGTTCCTTCATCCCTGACTTAATCCCTGATTTATTCTTCTTGGTGCTAGCACCACATTAACCCTTATGGAGGTATTGAGTCGTATCCAAAAAAACACAACTGAGTACCAAGTGCATTTGACTGATTTTATGTTTATACAAGTTTCAGTGAGGTGTACCTATTAAACTGGTGACTGGGTGTTTGTTAAAAATAAGGTTGTGATCTAAAAAGCAAACAGAAGCTTAACCCTTTATGCCAGAAACAACAAGAAGTTTAATCAAAACAGTGGATGATTTAAACAGCCTGAGAAACAGTTTCATGTTATAAAATGAAATATAAAATGTCTAAATAAAATAATTCATACAAAGAAATAGTGACATATACATGGTTACATAGATTTCTTTTATGAAAGCATTTACTGACATAATTGGTAACACGTTATTTTACAGGTCTGCTATTTCCTGTTCATGTCTTGAAAAGCTTTTGTAAAGATCCATGTAAAATCTCTGAGACTGATTTTTCATACTTGTGCTGAATTGTGTCGTTGGTTTTACTGTAGACTAGTTTCACATTTTGTAAGTGTAGCTCACCTTCTGTCCTCTGAATGAAAGTCTCAGGTTAGAGCTAGACTGGCATACAGTATAGAAGTAACCAGAAATGAAAAATATATGTAGAAGCAACTTTTTAGAGATTCTCCAGTTTTCATCAAATTTGACAGTAGGCTTATTATACAAAACTAAAAAATTAGAAATGAACTAAAATTAGAAATTAAGGTTTTTAAACATTTTCTACCTGCTGTCACACTTTGCTTTCATTCACACTTGGTTAAAAATATTTTGGATCCTGAACTCTGTCTTGATTATGTTCGTGGGCCTGGAGCTGCCTGTGTCGTTGCACCGTCAATGGACACCTTTTAGCAACGTTCCCTTGTAACCTGAGATTAACATTTAGAAAATGTCAGAAACTGTCCTTTTGCAAAGGCCAGCAGGGCTCGTGAGACAGAGCCTGTCCCAGTTGGGTGTCTGTTTCATGGGGAAATTCTGGCAACAGTCAAAAGTTTGCTGTGCCAGAGACAGGAGAACTGCGTGTCCTTTCCCAAACCGCCTCAAAGCACAACTGAAATGGGACAAGTCCCCCGAGAAGTCAAATAAAGGCCTCAGGAAAATGTTCACAAAGGAAAGAATGTGAGAATATGGAGAGAAGAGGAGCTACTATGAACAAGTAACCTGCAAGAATGAAAACACTGGAATATATCAGAGGTAGTTCTTGCAGTACCTGTGCTAGGGTGCCGAGCTTTTCCATGCCCGAGGTTCAGGGGGAGGCTACACCTGAACGTATCACTTCTGCTGTGGTTCGGAACATTCCTCTGGGCTTCAGTAATGACCCGCTAATGAGCCTCTGCAGCTCCACATGGGACTGATGGTGAGGAGGGAGGAGGGAGGGTGAAAGTGGAGAGCAAGGTAAACATTGAAACTGGAAGAAAGATGGAGTTAGAAGTGAATGAAATGGAGAAGGACAGGAGGGACAGATCTGCAGAAAGAGGGAAGGGGGGAAGGAAAGGATGAGAAACCGCTTAAGAGGTAAACAAATGATAAGAGGAAAGAGAAAAACCACCAGTATCTCCAGGAATTATGTTCATTTTGAATGAATCAGTCATCTGCAATCTAACACTGTATCTTGTGTCAACTCTTGGTGTCAATACGGGGAAAGCAGTGTGTCCTTTATGTAGAAATATGGAACGTACCCACTGCAATGGGTGACATATTTCTTCATTAGCAAATACCAGTCCTGAGCACAAGTAGTTAGCGGACTATAAACAAGGCAGAGAGCAAAATCTCACACATGCACAGTTAACTCTGACCTGTGCTAACTTCAGGAAATGATGGCCACAACATATTCAGGTCTGGGGTTTCATAATGAGCAAATATGTCATCCAGTTCAGTGGGGTGGCTCTGATGTGTTTTGAATTATTGTTAAACCACAGAGGACTGACAGCTGACAGACATCATTCCTGAGTAGAGGCACTTCATTGGAGGCTTTGGCCTCTCTATGGAGATAGCTGAAAATACTATTAATATAGAAAATGACCAGCCTTATTCTTTAACCCTAGTTTTGCCATAACCATGACATTTTCCTAGCCTTGACTACACCCTGGTTACATTGCACAGATATCGCAGAAGATCACACTGAATTTCACAAAACAAAATCCAATCTGAGAAAAAAGGATCAACAGAGAATTTTGACCAAAGGAAGTCTTACTGTTGACTGAACACTCACTGCTTCTGTCATTCTGTAACAATGTCTAGTTGGTTTTTCTCTAGATGATTATAATTGTCTTGTCCTTCTCCTTTTGTCCTTTCTACCTTTCCTCCCTCTCTTGTCTTGATGCTGTTGTACCGTGGAGGTGAGCTATCCATGTGTGAGCTCCAGGATCCATTTCTCGTCAGTGTCCACCTCATCGCTGACCCCGGCCAGGGCAAGTTCCTGCAGCGTGCAGGCCTAGGCCCAAACATCATCCAAATGGTAGCCCGGCAGTGACCAGCCAGCTGGCGATGGCGGTCATCCTCTTCCTTCAGGAGGCATATGGCGGCGAGCAGATACTGACACTGCACCGCGCTCTACAGAGGCCACCTTGGTACTACCACCACACTGAAAAAGTCAGCAATGGCCAGAGGATGCTGCCCCTGACGCCATGCAGTCAGGACTTTTTCACTCTTTCGCCTGGCACGCCGCTCTGGGCAGTGCGCCAGGTCCATTATGGGAAAGAAATAGTGAGATTTACTATTTATTGTCGGCATGAAAATTATGGTGACATGGTGCGGCTGTACAAGCTGCTGCTTCAGCGGAGAGTGGCACAGAAGAAGGAGGACTTTTGCTTCTTTGTGGTGTACTCCAACCCAGATATGGAGATCCAATTGTCATTTAAGAGGCTCCCGCGAGGTCAGAGTCCAGTGGTGTTGGACTCGGCAGTGATGGAGGTGAGAGTACGGGATGTCGGAGCGCTGGTGCCCCTGCTGCCACACCCCTGCAGTCCAATCAGTGAGGTCCGGTGGCAGACGGAGGACTACGATGGAAATAAGATTCTCCTGCAGGTGAGAATGTGTTCTACTGGTACCAGTTTGTCCCTGCTTACAACACAGACTGGATGTAGACTTGGATTACTCAGATTACACTGACGATGCCCACCAATAAGATTTTCAATAGCTGTCTAATAGTCAGCAGAATATCTGAACTGGCTTCAGTTAAAGCTAATGGAAAGTTTACCTGTGTGGTCTTGTGTAAGGGATTCATAGGGATGCATTGTTTTCTGTACATATGAAGCCTAATAGCACTGCAGCCCCTGTGTTGATCCCTGCAGACAGCAATCAAAAGATGGACAATGTATACTGTGTATGTTTGCTCTGGCTGCAGTCTGTATGAAGACTGTGTTCAAGAAAACCAGTAGAATGGCAGTTCCTTAGAAGGAATAAAAGATAAACAAAGAGAGAGAACGTAAAAAGACACCAAGGTTGAGAGACGCATGTAAAACGGATTCTAAATAACAAAGTCATATATCAAAGGAGCATTGAGTCTTAATTTGTTGGAGCCTTCAGTCCATCCATCCAGCTTTCATCAAGACTGTATAAGGTTTGCATGTACTGTGCACCTCTGTTTCACAATGACCACACAAAGATGTGTACAGTTAAGAGATGTGTGTGAATAAACTCGTGCACAACACAAAATGGCCCTTGTTCGGAGGGTATCGGTGTCAGAGGTGATGTGTGTCCAGACGGTGAGAGATACAGTAAGTAGTTTGGAAAGCTCGGTCCGATTAAAGTGCAGTCCATTACTGGGATTGGAACAGCACTGTGGGAAACACGAAGGTAATCCGTCATGGCAGTGGAACACATGCATGATTCTTAGCTGGCACCTGGTCTGAGGTCATGCACACTGTGTCATAACTCCATTACACATGGAGTGGATAGCAGGCTTGTGATCACACTTCAACACCAGTATTGACTGCATTGTGAAGAGCTGCTGGGTTTGAAAGTATTTTTACACGCTGTCCTTTCCTGTACAAGTTTTCTTTTAATAATACCCTCAGTGTTTATTTTAAACACTATGTTAAGAACATAATGTAGGTTTTTATTTTTAAAACTCTCTAAATAAAACTAAAGTCTGACATATTTGACAATACACTACCCACAATTCTCAGCGTATGGAGCCAGTAAGAGGCATCAACGCTGTAGAACATTCAGAACACTTCATTGCGATTGGGAACTAAATTGCACCACAGTCTCTGCATTTTTCCAGTATTGACCCTGAATCTGAGAATTTCTGGTTTATCTGGTTTCTACAAAGTGTCATTTTTGGCTTCAGCTTGACATCAGCAGCGCATAACACTGAATTTTATGCTCTATGATTGGGTGCTTTGTACTGAAATGCACTTTGGGAGTTGTACTTAACATATTTTTCCTCAATTCGTAAAGCCTGCAGGATGTACCTACAACTTCTACCAAAGAATCAGATATTTTCTTACATACTTGCTCATATTTTGTGCTGACTGATGATTCTGCTGGGAGGGTTTCATGTTCAGCCAAGACCTTGAAAGTGCTGTGCCCAAAATAACTGCCCCAACTCCACTATCCTATCGATAGGATAGTGATTTGTGTCAGAAACTGAAATAACTGACTGCACAAGCAGATTTTCACTTGTTTTAATTAAAGTTGTTGGGAGTCAGATGTCAGCTGCAGTAATGTGGGGCTTGTGTGTGCAGGGAAGAGTTGGAGCAGTTTACTGAAGCCCTGTTGTTCTCTCTCCCTGTTCAGTGTCTCAGACTGGTTCTTCTATAAACCACAGTCCACGTTCTGCTGCTTGTTTCTTCTTCTGTCACTTTCTTTCCCGTGCAGTCATAATACCAGCTGCATATTTATCTCCCACAAAGGAAAGGAGGTAGCGAGCACTGTCAACACTTGATGAAGGCCAAAGCAGGTCGACTGCAGTCATTTGTTATTTTTCTGTGCGTGTTGGGGTGAAAGCCGGTGTGCCTCTGTCTGCTAATACGATGTGACAGGAGCCGTTCTGTTTTCTGTGACAACACCGTGCTACAGTGGTGGTAGGGGGTGTTGAGTAATGAGGTTGTTGACATGGCGATGATCAGACAAGCTTTAGAAATCTCAGTATAAGCTAGGTCAGCCGGAAATCCGACCTCAGCAAGCCAAAAATAGCACAACTGAACACTAATGCTCAACTACACAACTGCAGAAGCAAGAAAGTGTATTGTCTAAGTTAATAAATGTAATTCTTCATCTGCTCAGCACTTTGTCTGTGGCTGCTGGCTGGAAGTGGATTCCACTAGATCAGAAACGATGAGTGCTGAAGAGCAGTTGATCTGCAACACAACTTCTGATTTAAGATACTTTAAACAAAAGGTTCATTTGGTTCCTTGTGTTCGTTTTAGTGAACAGAACTTGCTCAGGTGTTGTCATGTGACCTGTTGCTTTGAGTCAGAGGATGAAACCTGAACAAGGTCTCATCACTGAAGGTGACAGCGGAATAGGTCTGAAGTTATTTTACAAAAAGACCCTTGAGATAAAAATATTTGATCATGCGTGCTCCCAAGTAAGAAGGAATCTTATTGCTGAAGTTGTTTGCACTGGAATAAACAAACAGTCTCATCGTTTGTCCTGTTTTTAAGGTACAGTAAAGGTAAAGTCCTGTTTTTAAAATGATTAGACACAAACGGCAGGACAGACACAAATGCTACACATTTCTCTCATGTGTGCGCTTCCCACACAACCGGTCACATATAAACAAACACATTAGAAAAGGAACTAATACCCCTGCCTACCCACAATTTGTCAAAAGCAGCAGATCAACTGACAGTTAACAAGCATACACTTAACAGGACGTTCACCTGAGCAGGTGTCCCCCTAACGAGGTGCACTCTGTTACCATAGAAACCCTGTGGCCAGTGGGGCTCATTTCTAAAATGTTGTTTTGTTTTTTGTAGTTGGTGTGGGGGCTGTTTTTTTGTTGTTGTTACTTTCCTTGATTGCCCCCCTCCCCTTAAAATCTTTATTAAAAGGGAATGCTTCTGGATATATACCCTCAAAACTCTATATGCTACTGGTTTAAATGAAGAATGTAATCCAACTGTTTTTCTATAAATATCCACCACCGGCTGCACACCCAATTTTTGCAGTGCAGTCCTGAGCCCAATTATTTTTATTTCCTATAAGTTGATATTGACCTGACCTGTAAATTGATTGTATCTTGTATGATCTTGGTGCCTTTTCGTGCAATTAGAAAGCCAATTATTGGGCTTTACATAGAACATTGTCGGTTTTACCTGTGTCCTAAGAACTGGGTTTGATTCATTCATGATTACTCAGCCACCTGGCAGGCTAATTAACTCAAGAGGTTTCACCTGTGTCTAATGTTTAATGTACTATGAGACTGTGACACTGATGGAGGCCAGATAGCTGACAACATTCTGTCTTTTTGCAAAATAAGGTGATTTCTTGTCATTGGTGTGATCCTAGTTTACAGTTATTGGACAATAGTGGGCTAATGCAGCGCAGTGGAATGTGTACATAAAAATAAGAAATGAGAGGTGTGACCTTTAAAGGCTACACACAGTATATATACTACAATACCCTGGACC